TTTGAACAAAATTTTATCATATAAAATTACATTTCTTTCCTAACGTACAATTATTAATCTTGGAATTATATTCACGTTTCGAAAGATAAAAATAACTTTCTTCATTCGACGAAAAGCCGTAGAAACGCTACAAAGAACGTAGGTTCACTGATGGTTTCTGTCTTCTAAAAATCGATCGACTATCGATGCATCTCGTTCCGATTGCAAACGATCGCCTTACACGTCCTTTAAAACCAAGAATGTCCATCGAGCAGTTGGTTTCCGGGCCATCAAGATCACGTTGACGACGGCCAGCGAATAAAAGAGCACAGCGTATCTAGAAGTATATTTCCTTTCGTCGTTCGTTTTATGTGGTGGTCGTTTGACGGGCACCACACTCGGCAGATCCTCGATCGGGACTCTGGACAACCTGGAAAATCCAATTGATGTAATTGTATTCTTGGCAACTTCTGTTAAAGACGAGAAAAGAAAAGAGATTGAAAAGATTTAATTAATATCTAACACCTCCTACAATAAGCAGTTTTCAGAATTGTTATGTTCATTTACACACACATACAATATCTACTGGATACATATTTATTCTATTCCACTGTGTGACGTCCTCAAATACACTTAAATAATTTAGCAAACGTTTGACTGTCGATTTTTATGCAAATTTATATTTTCATGAAAGTAATTGCAGAAAGAGAAACAACGTTGAAATTGGTTTCATTCATTCTATATATATTCTGTTCATTGTTGTATCTTTGAATTTTTCATATGCATGAAGTGCATAAAAATCTGCAGTCTAGTGGTAATTTGTAAATCAACAGATTTAGATCGAAGGTGTGTTAACATTTTTTTGTAGAGATTGAAAGATTACACTGACTATGGACCTATAGAGCTATAGAGATATCCATTTAAAAGAAGATGTAATTGCATTTTTCAAATGCACGAAATTATTTTTAAATTATACTTCGAATATTATTTAATTTTGGTTCATAATATTTGACAGATACAGTTTTGTTCTAATTATAATAATTTATAATAATAACAATAATTTTATAATAATTATACTTTGTATAACATACAATATAATTATTATATATATAATATATTTATTTGTTGTATTATATTATATTACGTAATTGTTTTAAACTTTTTTAATCGACCTGGAAAATCCAGTAGAAGCAAGCTTGTTCCTTGCAACTTGTGTCAAAAAATGGGAAAAAAGAGGAGATGAAAGAAATTTAATTAGCTCCTAACATTTTTTATAATAAGCAGTTTCTGCGAATGTATGCATCTGAAAAGCTTTGTTTAGTGAAATGAGAATTTCTTTTTATTACATGTATAAATTTATATGGTACGTTTATAATTAAACTTATTTTACGTTTTAAATTAAATTATCATAGATGAATAAAAATCCGTGTTTTTCACTCATTTATAAGTAAAAAATGGAATTGCACGTTTTTGAGATTATAAGAAAGAAATTTTGTTCGGATAAAACAATTTGGGCATTACTGCTATTTCTTTTGATGATGGTTTCCTGAATTAAGATATTGTAATTCCACTGTTGGAATTAATAATTAATAATTATTATAATTATAAATATATTTCATATTTAATTGTATTATATATTATATTACAATCATAAATACAATTATAACAATTATAAATATGATTATAATATATATCTATAAGTGTCTTATACGGTGAATATGTATGTTTAAGAAAAGAAGTGTAAAAAAAGGCTACACAAAAATTTGATCTTTGCTATTGTGCAAATTAGAAATACTTATTTATATAAGATATCTTATTAAAATTTATGGAAAAAAGAAATAAATTCAATATTTGCCGATATAGTTGTTTGTAAAGAAGGGATCTGGATCTGAGATCTATCGGTATTAGCTGCACTAATTACTTTCCACATGCTTATAATTAATCATAAGCATATAAATCTTTACACTTTCATATATTTTGCAAACCGTGTACAAAAAATAAGTGGAACGTGTTGTAAAAGAATCTGCGTAAAAGTAAATGAAACATGTTGGTAAAAGTTAATTGTGTAAAGAAATACTGTGTAAAGAGAGACACAGGTATATTTAATCCTTGGTATCGGATTTACATTAAATGGGGGCGAAGTTTTTGCCATTGTTTGGTAAAAAGATATGAAGTAAAATTTCATTCGCGTTAGCGTAAATTTTCGAAGATTTAAATTAAATAGATTTTACTTTATTTAATGTGGATCATTGGAGAACATAAGAATTTAAAGTCAAATTGGTATTACAGTTTTTAATTTTATTGAACTTTACTACTAATCTCTATCAAATAACATTAAAAAATTTAGTAATTTAAAATTAAATAAAAAGTAGTATCATTAATTGTAAATATAAAATATAAAATATAAAATAAATTTAAGTAGCACAAATTTTAACAAAGAATGTACCTTTATTACCACAATTATCTATGATTCAACGACACTATTCGAGAGTTAATTTTTGGGAGGTATGTATTGAAGTAACACTCTGATCACCACTTCCAAGGATTAACATAGAATTAGAATTGAGTCATTCAAATATGTCATATCGATTACCTAATTTCATAATTTAAAGCGCGAAGAAGAACACAGAAGAACATCATAAACATTCTTCGTTTAAATTTATCTTGCAAATATTCGTGTTGTCTTTGTACGCTCGTCTTTAGAAAAATCCTCGGTGAATTCAAATACAAATTATGCGCCTGTTAAAAAGAGAAGATGAATCGATTAGTTTGATTTCTAATTCAATTTTATTTGAAAATTCATTAAAATTTCTATTAAATTTTTATTTAACTTTTGACTGTGATAATCAGTCGCCACTAAAAAGAATATTTCTTCGTTATTTAAAGGAAATAAGTGAGACATTCCTTTAACATTAGTTCGGAAGATACTGTTTTTCGTGAACAAACACGGGTTGTGCATATTGGAGTAATTACTGAACTGTTTAAAGAATTCAACTGAACATCGGGAAACAGTGTGTTTCCTATCTCGCGGGTTAAGAGGTTGTTCAGGTAGCTAGATAGTTTCCAACAGGGATTTGGATAGTGTAGTTATTCTCATCGTGTACGATTATCCGTTTAAATATTAAGAAAAAATGAGTTTTTCTCTTCCACCGAGAATAAATGAAAGTTCCTTGGAGAAAAATGATCAAACATTCTACAGCTTTATGTTAAAGTTTCTACCAACAAAATGAAAGCTAAATTCTTTCGAGCTTCTTAGTTCTACACTAAGGAACATTTGAAAGTTGCTTCTTACACTCTAATGAAGCAAAATAAATATGAAAGAAACGGGATATCTTTCAATAGCCCTTTTACGAACAAATTTAGAAACGTTCAACTTCGTTTACCTTTCTCTTCTATATCGAATTCAAGGATTTATTAAAATATTGTTAAGATAGAATTTGACGATTTTAAAAGGTAGTCGCAGTCGTCTCGAAATTTTCGTGTCTAAATCACGCTTTCAACGAATAAGAATTTTCAGTAAAAAAAAAATTGTAAAATTACTATTTCTCCTTAAATTCGAGAAATTTATTAACGAAAGAAAAATACGACTGCAGGCTTAAGGTTCACTTTCTTTCACACGATATTTTTTTTTTTTTTTTTGATTGCATTATCGAACTATAGCTGTAAAAATAAAAGTTTCGTGCTTTAGAATGAGCTCCGGTTGATCGTTGCACGATTTCCTTCCACGAAGTTGCAACAGTTTAAATATTAAAAAATTGTCAAGTATGACAGGAGTGAATGACACTCGTTAACAAATTTTTAATCTATATAGAAGTGTCTGCTGCGTTCAGGTGTCATTATCTTGCCATTTTTCGTGACAGATAGCAAAAGGTGAAACAGAAAGAAAATCATCGAGGATTCAGTGAGGAGAGGGCACGTTGTGCTGTTACGCTATTGGTCGGCGTTAGGGGTGCCAGAACACTTCGTGGGTGGTTGGGAGAGACTATATAAAGCGTTTCACGGATCATGGTACATCGCAGTTGCTTTTACGTGTTGCTTCATCCGCGTTTCAGGACTTTTTTCTCCCTGGAATGTGTCTGGAAACGTAGAATCATCTTTTTTTCATCCGATCCGCTGCGGTCGCACCTTTCGCGTCTCGTGTTCCTCAACTTCCGTTTTCAAGCGTAACGCGTCTCATCGTTGAACGAAAGAATTCCCTCAGCGTCTCCGGAGACAGTTTGAATCCTCTTCGTTTTCGTTTCTAGTGAAGTTCGTTCTAAATATTGATGATGAAAAAATAGTTCGGCCGTGAGAAGAAGAGAGTAATATTCTTTATCGTGAACTGTAAAATTTTATTCGAGGCTTTACGAGCAGACACGCATAAGGAAAGTATATCAATATCGATACAATTATTAAGAAGGTAATTATTAAAAATTTAATGATTATATTTGGCAAAATTAATCAATTTTGTACGATAAAAGTATTTCATGATTTTTAGAATATGTAATACGAGAGTGTCTCAATGATACATATTACATTTGTAAAGTAATATTTAGAGAAATTTTTATTATACGTTATATTCTATAAAAATATCGTTATATGGTATTTTATTTTCCATTTATTGATATTAATATTGCTAAATTAATTGTTATATGAAAGTATTTCAATGTTTCAGTTTATTTAAAGAAATGTTAATACGAGTTAATTAATACAGTCATTCGACAAACATCTTTTCTTTCGTCAGGTTAGATTCGAAAAATTAATTATACATCTACAGCAAAAACTATTTCAAGATCAGAAAGATAATATACATTACATGAAAATAATTTTCAATGATTATTTACTTTCACACTTTAGCAAATTAATTGTGCATTTATAATAAAAAAAATATTTCACGCTCTTTGTGATATACATGTAAAGAATAGTAGCAACGTAGTTTATAATGTACAACATATTTCAGTATTCTCTGTTTTTAAACAATCGTAGGCTATTTTACATTCGAATAAATAAATAAGGAGACCAAGAACAATCAGAGTAACACGGGTGTATTTCCCTTCTTGCAGGAAAAAGAAAATGCTTTCACGGTGCAGGAAGACGCAATTGATACCGTGCTTCAGTAGCATAGAGATCGTGATGTGTTTGTGGGTTGTGTGTGCCGTTTTAACTTTGGTCGCATCTCAGCAGAAATTTTACATTCAGGGCCGATACGGTAAAAGGCAGGAGCCACGCGCAGGTGAGCAATAAAATTATAAAAAGCATAATTAACACAAACCCATTCTCTTTTCTTGGCACATTAACCATCCGTTATAGTTCGTACGTTTGAAACAATCGCCAGAATTATTTCTACAAGAATTAATCATCGTTAGAAATTTTAATTAAAACTTATTACCTAGTGATTAAAATCCATTGATAATCCTTGATTAACTTTTTCATAGAACACTCGTTCGAGTCTCTGCGATATCACACGTGTATTATTGTGTGTGTATTATTTCCTCTTCCACTCGTGATCACCTTTAATTTCCCAGTCGTGTTCGTATTTTTAGTTTCTGCCACGCATTCCGTGTGCAATGCTCTAATCAAAAGAGTCGCGGTCGTTTTGCGGTCGAACAGTTGCTCGAATTAGATCAGTTTCCGGTTTCTAATTATTCGACCCTTCCGCTTTCTGAACGACGGATCTATTCGTCGATTCGCGCGAAACGGTGATAGAATTTCCTGTTTAGATACAACCCTTCTTTCGTTGCAGTCGATGTGTTCCTCTGCTTAGGCACTTTTAAGACACTATTTAATTTTCAACCTTTTTAACATTGTGGCTTTAATCAGAGCTATTGATGAATTTGATCTACTAACATTTTTATCAGTTTTTAATACTGATATATGCATCTTTAATTGATATCAAATAGAAAAGTATATCGAATTAATTCTCATTTCACACTGATGCAAAAATTATAACTAACTACAATATATTGTACATTGTTTCATAATAAAGAACACAATATGTCATTAACAGATATATATTAATATTAATATTAAATCGTAAATTTATATTATTTCATGTTTCAATAATAAAGAACACAATATTGTATATCATTTCATTCTATAGATAGTGAAATTTTTCAATTGCACGTATATTTTATAATGCATATTGTTATTGTTACGATACTATAATATTACAGTACTAATTTTACTACTATAATAGTAAATTATAATACATAGTAAATTATAAACAATACTATAGTATAGTATTATTTTCAGTACAATACTCTGCAGATACAATATTATATAATTAATCGCACAATCACGTTTATCTTACAATTTACAATCCAATTGTCAATATATTTTCTCAGGTTCTTTACCGCATGAAGTATCATTTAATTTTTCTAATTTCGAAACAAATAAATGTAGCATAGCTTGTCCTAAGACCATTGAATGATGGCGTAATTAATTACCGCGCTTCGATTCCTTCTGTTTCTTTTCGTACTTCCAATTACGGAAATCTTTTCTTTCTCGAACATTTCATCTCCTTTTCATAGTTTCTTCGCCGTTCTCATCTCGTCTTTTGCTTCGTTGCTACTTTTAACATTTATCCTTTTTGTAACAACAAGAAGGTCAAAGAAAATACGCGTATATACTCAACAATCAATGATAACTGTTTTCGCAAGAACGCTTTTGTGAAATTCGATTCAACGAAGCAATTAACTATTGACGTTCGTGCGACACAAAAAGCGAAGAATCGTTTATCACCTGGTGGAAATTGTAATGTGTACCGGAAACTTTACGAAGCTTGAAACGTTCGTCCAACTTGGATAACGATGATTCGTTACTTCCGGCTGAGATATCGGAAACTGTAATTTGTAACTTGTAATTTGTTACATTAAAGTATTGTTACTTATTTGCAAAAATGTCTGGTTATAAATATGAAATTGTCAAATATGTAATTGTACATGATTATAAGACAGAGGTAGTTGAGTTGGCTGAAATTGTTTTGTTTCAAATTTGCAACAGATTTATGGCCGTTATCAGGTAATTATGATCTTCGTTAACATGTAGAAGGTACTACACTCGTTAGTAATTTATATAAATTTATATCTTTAAAATCATCCTCAAAAATCCAAGAGATCTAATAATTTCGCTCGAGTTCGTGACATTTGAAATTATTAGAATTTGTATTACATTACGAATTTCAACAATATAAATACACACAATTTAATTAACACAATATATTAGATTTGTTTGATAAAATAACAGAGACTTCTCGTCGAATGGAATGAAATTACGTATTCCATTTGCAAAGCATAACAGATTAAAATAATACGTCGTTGACTAGATAGATTTTAAAGAAATTTTCAAATATTTCTACTGTTTTTCAAACCACTAGTAATTATATTATGCATTCATAGGAAATTTTAAAATACAAACTTGTACAAAATGCGTACAATATAATACATAATATAATACTCAAAGTAAAATGTTTTCTATAATATTTCGGGTGTTTTATTTTTTTTATTTATATTTTCAAGAATACGAATCCTATACAAAAATCCACAATCTACTAATAATAAATAAAACAATCTGTTTTTAAATGTAGATCGTTTAAAAGTTGTTGCTTTAGTAAATTGCAAATAGATTGCTGATTTCCATGTAAATTCGTTTTGAGAATAGAATCTTGGAAAATTGTTTATCGACGTATCGATATATATTTTTTCTTATATTACGCGCATTCTCTAATTTTGCATTTTCATTCTTCTGCAGTCTAATTATTAATAATTGACATATTAATTTATCATCTACTTTTCTTGTATTGTTTCTTTGCATTTCAAGCCAGTAATTTATTTAACAACTGGAACTTAAATAATTCTACAAGGATATTTAGTAGAAGAAAATAAATCTACAAGAATATTATAAACTAAATTTCATTTTTACTTTTGTGCATTCATACGAAATTTAGTACGTATTCTTGTCGATAATAATTATCATTAAAAGACGAATTAAATTGCAATTAATAATCCTGTCTAATTTTAATATCTCTGTTTCAGATGCTTTCTACGTATCGGGAGGCAGGTACGGTCGCAACGAAAACTCGCAGGAAACGAGCAAATCGTTGCCGAAATTGGTGGAAGTGGAGGTACCGAGGATAGATCGATTCTTTTGGAATGGTAGATACGGAAAGCACTCGCCACCGGATTATCGGTCAGTTTCGTCGGTGAATCGATTCAGCGCCGTGCTCAACTTCATGGATCAAGTTGATCTCGATCGAGAGAACGACGCCAGCAACCGGAACGAGCTCGAGCTTCTACCTTAGGATTATTTCGTCGGTAAGAATTCTCTTTGTGAAAATGTAATTAGTATTAAATGTCAATCCTCATCTGTCCTCTGCGTCAATTTGACACAAAAAGTCATATTACTTTATAGCATGTACTATCACGTAACATCTATTTTTTTTCTAACGTGCAACATATGTCAGACATTTTTGACAACAAAAAGTAAAATACCGTGTCATCAATTTGACATTAACAAAATTAGATATATACATTTCCGTTGAGAGATTTAATGTCAAGATTTTAGAATTTTAAACTTTGAACCTTGCTTTATAACATCAGGTCACGCTCGTGGTCAGGAATCGCGATTTCAATTTGAAAGAAAGAGGAAATTTGTCTAGAATTGATTTCGAATTTTCAAACGTCGGCCCTCTAAATTAATAAATACAAATGACATATCATTTTATATATTAATATTTTGCATGAAGTAACAAATTGCAAGGCAAGGAATTAATTGTATTTGAAAACCAACTTTATAATTATATAAATAATAACTTCCTCAGAAAAGCATACGAAGTTTATTTCGTTAAAGAAATAAAGGATGTTTCAATTTTCTGAGCGGCAAATATTTCAATATTTCATAGCAATATTTACGTAGATGGAGAGAAAAATGTATGAACGTAACAAGAGAAAGTCTAATGCGATACTGTGCTTCCTTTGAGAAAGAAAATGATAAAAGTTTAATGTTAAATAATAATTGTAAAATTGAAAAAGAAGCGTGTCAAGAAATAAAAAACATTGCTGTATTCCTAATACTTCTGGAATGCACATTAACCGAAGATTTGTCATTTTCGAACATGGTGAGTCACGTAACAATGATATGTCGTTCGAGGATTGAACATTTTGTTATCAAAAAACATAGAAAATATACGCTGCACGTTAGAAAAAGAAGGAGCGAATGAGGGTTAAGAAGAGAGAAAAATAGAAACTTTCTAATTATCAGTACGTAATATCCCAGCATTAAAATCACCAATGAGTGATATCCTCTGCTCGTTAACGCGGTATAAATTTCACCGAAACAGAAACTAATCCAGAGCTTAAAATTCCCAACGAATTCTCACTGAAATTATGAACGATACTCGTTATAAAGTTTCGGCTAACGTCTAATACGAAAAAGCAGGCTCTCAAACAGATCGTGCCGCGAGTCGGAACATAGTTAGCTCTTTGTACCGTTGAAAATAATTATTTCAATGCAGTTGTTTATTTGAAGCTTCCACATAAAATTTCACATAAATTCACGGTACTTTGCCGTTGATGAAATCGAGATATTCGAAGTTGTCACATTGTTCGAAGTCCGAAGAGTTCACAGGTGTTTCCCTCTTTGTCCCTGCAGACGGGAATCGTCAGAAAATTTCCTCCGCGAGGAGGAAGTTACCCCTTTGTCGCGAAATTGTAAACGTTACGTACAAAGAGATAATTCTCGTTTCAAAGCGCGACGATTTCTCTCTCTCTCTCTCTCTCTCTCTTTTTTTCTTGAAAGAACAAGCAACGACTTTAGCTCGTTTTCTGTTCTTTTGCAGACATCTGCGAGGACTCGTTGGCCCTTTTACGCAAACGAAACGAACCGAGAGGAGAAACGCGTCAGAGGGAACGAGTGGGTTTCAATTTTTTCAAAAAGTCCTTAGCGATGATTTGTTGTTTCCAATCGATTCGAACGAGTGTCGATACGCGCAAAAAATACGAAATACACGTATCAG